TAGCATGGCCTCTCCCCAGCCAACGGGCCTAGGGCAGAGGCTGCTCGGCGGTCTCTGTGAAGCCGTGGGGGTGTCGGCTGTGGGTTGCAGCACCCAAGGAGTGTGCCTGCCTCCCCGTGCACCCTGGCCCCCGGCAGTGGTCTCTGGTGAAGCAGCGGGTCGAGTTTTTCCCTCAGAGTTTGTGTTTATATAAGAATTATGCAAGGCTTTAGTGCTCCTCACTGGGACTTGAGAAATGCGGGTTCTTTTCAGTCTGGTACTTCTGTAGTTGCTTTTGGGCACAGTGTACGTGCCCTGTGGGTGGGGAATGCTCTCCTTAGAGATTCTCTGCTCACTGTGGAGATGTTTGATTGCAAAGGTTAATATAGATTCTGATTTCTGTTTCATGGAAGAGATTGGGTTCCTATGAATGACTGAGAGTGGATTATTAATCACACAACTCTGTTCTTCTTTCTCATGGGTTTGTGTACCTTTTTTTTTCCTTTGCATTAGCCTTTGAAGTCTTTGCAGCAGAGTACTGCTTTGTAGCATATAGCCTAGAAAAGGGCAGTTTGTGCCTGGGTCTGATACGGTCACAACACAAATACAGGGATGGCCAGCGCTGCTGGACGGAGACAGAGTCATCTGGAAGATGAAAGGCCTTTGGTCAGAGGACAGCACCAGCTTATGAAATTAATCCACTGAGTTCTCCGAACTGATGTCTCAGGGTGTGGTTTTTACAAGCATGCTGAGCCCTGTCCTTTCAGTTCTCAAGCTGAAAGTAATTGGGAGCAGACCTGCCCGATAGCAGCTGAAATGCAGTGAGCTTCAGTTCCTGCTATTTCCAGTGTTAATGGAGAACATGTATGAAGGAGGCAAATACTGTATTAACTTGAATATTGCAGAAAATGAAAGGTGTAAAGAAAGTGCAAGCAAAGAAAACCCTGCCTCTTTTCTATCTCACCCTTATTACAGAAAATTGTTATCTTCACTGAAATTTGTTGGGACAATATATGCTTTTGAAATACTGAAGTTCTTAGCTGTGCCTGAGTGAAGTAAGACAAAGATGCACAAAAGCTGAGAGTTGAATGAGGGCTTTTTAGAGATCACTCAGTCGATTGGAGAATGCTTCTTAAGCATTTGAATTTATGGTATAGATATAAAGTTGTGGTGTAGTTTTATGATGGAGGCAGCCCACCATTTCCTTTGGTCTGTTTCTGCCATCAGACTTGGGTTACATGCTGTACTGGAAGACAAGAGTTTTTTAGATTAAGATTTATATTTCTCTTGAGCGCAAGTTGGGAGTTTAATGCAAGGCTTGTTGTATGAATGAATAAAACTTGTGGAAGCAGGAGGACAGTTAAACTGTGTCTGTTAGGGTCCTTTTCTTCATTGCTCTTCTCTCTGTTCCAGAGCTGCCAGACTGGGGTAACTCAATGGATTGCAGCATGCAGTGGATTATTACAGTCAACCGCAGTCCAAGGCCAGTGTAGGAGGATGCTCTGTGGTATTTCCCAGGTAGGATATCAGAGTATGTTAACGTGTGTAAAAACTGGGATGAGTTTAAATTGGTAAGGAAAAAAATCATGGTTTTTAAATGAAAGATGCTGTAATTTGTTTTGCTCAAGTCTTGGCCAGAAATATAGTTGAATGGGCTGTAAAGTTGTAGATAAAAATAGCATAAACTCTGTTTCTCTGCATGGTCAGGAAAAATAATTATTCTTGATTTAGAGACAAACCCCATAATTAGAAGTAGTGTGTGAGAAGATCAAAGCAGGTAGGCTGTGGGTTTTGAGAGTGCAGTGTTCTGCTGGTCCACTCCATCAGTGTATTTACAAAACACTAGGAAAAGTGTGGTGGGAAGCGTTAAGGGTGGACAACAATTTTGTAACACTTATGATAATAAATTTGTGCTTTTTGTGATACAGAGATTTTCAGGATTAGATTGAACTGTAATTGACTTGAAAGCAAACTAAGGGTAATTGGTTTTTGTGGTTTAGGGCTGGGCCGGCCACTAAATCCTGGACAGACGCTCTGTATTAACCCCTCTCCCCTCCCCAGAAGGGAAGAGGAAAGAGGATAAGGGAGAGAGACTTTACGGGTTGGAAAATAAAACTAACAGATTTAATAAAAGAATAATACTGATACTACAGAATAATAATGTAAATAGGAAAATAATGAAATATATACAGGTATGTACAAATAAATACAAAACCAGTATAAAATCCTTCCCCCACCCTCTCCCCAATGATGAATACGTCACCAGAGGCTCTGTGGAGCTGAGCACTGGAAAAGTCCCAGACTGAACTCAGCAGCAGTGGGAGCTGATGCAGAACACACAGATCAGGATCAGCAGCAGATGAACCAGCAGGGTCTGCTCAGGCCTCGGCCTCTGCAGAATCGAGACGGACGGAAGGGTCCAGGATGGAAGAAGGGTTGAGACCCTCATGATCCCTTGGCTTTACACTGAGTATGACGTATGCGGGGTGGAATACCTCGTTGGTCAGTTTTGGGTCTGCTTCCCCCCCATAGGCACAGACACGGCACCCATGGTGAGACAAACTGACCTCGAGCATATCTTCTAGCAGCACTGTCTGGGAAAACAATGCCTTTAGTTTCAGCAAGTTCAGCCACTTAAAAGAGACTGAGCTGAAAAGTAAAATCACTAAACAGAAAAATTAGTTCTAATTAGCTCAAACCAGGACATTGATGTAAAGTTAAGTGTTTATGAGTTAATGGTATCTTTATTTTTTAAATTTTCTTTTATTATTTTTACTAGAGACACAAGGCTGGCCAGTTCCTGCTGTCTAAATCCTGTGGTGGATTGATTCAAGCCAATGGAGCCATTGCACAGCAACACAGATCATTTTGCAATACAAATAAGGTTAGAGGAGTTTGATGTTTTTATTGTCAGAGGGCACATTGTGCTAGGGATCCCAGTGCCTGAGAGCTGCTTTCCAGTGAGGAAAGAAACTCCGTTAAGGAGAGTAGTTACCGAGGTGGGGGGCAGATGATATACCTCTGAGAGTAAGAGAGGGAGAATGGAAGGTTAGCTTTATTTACTCATTCTGTGATGTGTTTTCTTGTTTTATCTGCAAAAGATTTAAGCCTAAGTAAAGACACACATCTAGAAAGAATATGGCAATCTAGAATGCGAGCCATGTTTTGGAAAGCAGGTTTCTAGACAAACTGTTTGAGTCTGAGTTTCCAACAGGATGCTTTTATCAAAACAGTTACGCACTGTTTGCATACAATAAACACTATTTCATGTAGGAAAAACTCTGTGATATTTTGCAGAGAAGACCTAAATATGTATTTGTTTTGTTGAACAAAGAAAGTAAACAAAACCCCTACAGTTCTCCATTAAACTGGTAGCTTTTGTAACTAAAATAAGTAGTCAAATTTAGTTGCTAAGACTGAACTACGTGATATTTCAATTTTACAGCTTCTTTCTGCAAAAGATTCCCTGCAGCCATCTGAAGAGAAAGTGGGTGCTTTCACAAGGATAATAGAAGCAATGGGTTTCACAGGACCACTAAAGTATAGCAGATGGGTAAAGCGTTCATTTAATAATTCTTTTGTTTGTTTGATACTTTCAGACTTCTAAAAAGCGAACAACAAACCCACCACTTTTTTTCTTCTATAAGGAACAGTAATGAAAAGTTCGAATTATTACCCATGTAAATTCCTGTTGTGTGATGTGAGGAATAATAATCCATAGCTTGAACCTTCCTTGATATAGGCACTGCCGTCATTGTAGGAATGTTGTATATCTAATTTCTTCAGATATTTTATTTTTCACTTCATTTGTGCACCAAAGAACACAGTAACAGCCTTACTATCTACGTCAAACATCCACATAGAGCACCCTCTTGTCTCTGATAATGACCAATTGCAGTTAGAAAGAAAGAATTTAATTACAGGAAAAGCATATCATGATACTTCTCATGTGCTCCTCCAGCCTACAACAGCTGTCTGCTTCAGGACTTCCTGCATGAAATTAGGCATTTTTCTCTAATATCTGTTGATGGATTTTTCTTTTATAAATGTGTCCAGTTGCTCTTTGAACTCTTTTAAGTATGTAGCATCTAAAGCATTCAGTATCAGGGAGTTCTATACCTTGAGTACCCACTGGGAGAAGAAGTACAGTAGTTTTCTGTTGGTGCCTTTTAATTTTGTACTTTTAATAAATGGTGATTATTCTTACCTTGGAGCATATGTTCATATTCTCCCTTCAGCTGATGATTTTACGGAGTCGTCTGTTCCATAGTATCTTATTCTTTCTCTGGACTGAGGAGACTTAATCTAACTTGTTTCTGTTATTGAGGTTGTTTCAGGTTTTGATTTTGTTGCACTCCTCTTTCAGTGTTCTGTATTTCTGTGACAGGAGGATGTCCCAAGCAGACAGTAGTGAGATACAAATCACAGAATCACTCGGTTGGAAAAGCCCTCTGAGATCACCATGTCCAACCGCTCCTGTCTACCCCCTAAACCATATCCCTAAGTACCTCATCTACCCGCTCTTTAAACACATCCAGGGATGGTGACTCCACCACCTCCCTGGGCAGCCTGTGCCAGCTTCTGACGACCCTCTCAGTAAAGAACTTCCTCCTTATCTCTAACCTGAACCTCCCTTGGCACAGCTTGGTGCCATTTCCCCTTGTTCTATCCCCCATCACCTGGGAGAAGAGCCCAGCACCCACCTCTCTCCAAGCTCCCTTGAGGCAGTTGTAGGTGGTGATGAGGTCTCCCCTCAGCCTTCTCTTCTCCAGTCTAAACAAGCCCAGTTCCCTCAGCCGCTCCTCATCAGGCTTGTTCTCCAGACCCCTCTATGATTGCTATTTGAGTCGCTTTTCAGTAGTAGCTGACTCGGGCAGAGTCACAAATAGGTCCTCCTCTTTCATGTTTTTTAAGCAGTCCTTTCCTAAAGCGGTTGTTAACATGGACTAAATGAGAGCAGTTCTGTAAGAGACCTCTTCAGTTCCTTATGCAGGAGGTAGGAGACAGAGATGAAATTCACAATTTCTTTGCTCTGAACTAGGACACAGAATAAAAGAGTGAGAGGAAAAGGCAGCTTGAAGGAAGGGCTGAGCCCAACTGTGCAGGAATTAAACCTGTAAGTTGCTTTGAATATCTGCAAGGCAGAGTGGACCTCCTCTGAGACTGATCTGAAACTGCTGCCGACTGCTGCTCATTCCTCAGAAAGAAAATACAAAGGAAAGATAAGTGACACTTAAGGCAGTTAGGTATTTTAGTTAAAATCAGTTGCTTTTAATCAGGTGATGCTAAACCTCATGAGAGAGTAGCTTCTCTCCTGTGTGCTTGTGTACATATTGTTGTAATAAAGATTCTTGTTAGCTCTAAGTGTTGATTCAGAGTTCTCCTTAATTACTGCTCTTTACTGCCTGCTTTTGGCTGGGGAACTTGGGTTTGGAGAGAGTTATTTTGTGGTTAGGGCCCAAGAGACCTGAGTTCATTTTTGGCCTTGCCAGCGCTCTCTATGAGATCTTAGGGAAGTTTCTTAATATTTCTCTGTTTTTTTCCATTTTCTTCTCCCTTCCCCCATACCTCTCCTACACCCTAAAACTTCCATGATTAAATTTCACCGGTTTCTCCTGCGTTACCTGCCTTATTTAAGGGCTGGATTGCAGGGACTGTTCTTTACAATATGTTTTTAATGTCTGGTAATGCCTGGTCTGGGGCAGTGGCTTTCACCGGGGAGATCTCTACTCCCAGGCCAGGCAGCGTTTCCTTTAAAAAGGAAACCTTCAGAACTCCACTAAGCAGTGTAAATTATTTTACTGTGAGAAGTTTAGATGTAGACTTGATTTTTGACAGAAGCCTGAGATTACTGAATAAGAAAAAGAATGGCTCCTGTGTTTCCACAGCAGGAGATCAGTGGCAACTTCAGTGTTTTTCTTTTGGCTGGAGGAGACACAAATAATTACTTTGGTGATTTGAAGTGCCATTTGACAGGCATAGTGCTCATCTCTGTATTATAGTGAGCACTGAGATGATCCCCAGTAAGTGTCACTGAAAACAAAAAACCCAACCCAAACCCAGTGCTGCTTCCTGGCTTAGGTAGGGGAGTGCTCTCTGGAGTTTCAGATGTTTTAATTTTTCTCCTTTTGATGTTAGTAAAGAGGAATGGCTGACAACTCTTCTCTTTAAGATCTTTGCTAGCAGTTATTGTGCTCTTTGAAGCGTCAGGACGTGTATCTTTGTTAGAGATGGTGCACTGAAGGTGTTTCTCATGCAGTGGCAGGCCACAGACAAAATTAGAAGTGCCAAAGCACCCGAGTATACCTCATGTCATTCATCATTTGGGGTTCTTTTTTCACTTGTGAAGCTTATTTGGTCAGTTTTCGTTTTTGTAAGAAACAAGGTATTTTTAGGATATGTCTGGTATGCCACTTCTTTAGTGTTTAAAACTTAAATTAAACAAAACAGAGTGGTATACATCAATCAGAGATATTGGAGGAAACCAGGAATTGTGGATTGGGATCTTTGGAGTCTCTGTTATTTCATTTCTTTTTCTTAATGACAGTATTATATGAAACGAGATTTGGAAGGATATTCAAGAAGCCATTTAATAATTGCTTTGCCTCAAGGCAAGATTGATTGTACTTGTGTAATTCCTGGGAGATACAGTAGTTCAATATGCTCCTGAAAATCTCAAGTGGTTGTGATTCTCAAAATAAGGCTTTTCAGAAAATTATAGCGCATGTATTTAGCAAAGGCAGTAGTGTTCAATAGCTCTCAATGATGAATACTTCAAGTATTGTATTTTCTATTTTTTTTTGTAGAAAATTAAGGTAGCAGCTTTGCGCATGTACACGTGCTGTGTGGAGAAAACTGACTACGAGGAATTTTTTAACAGTAAGTAATGCTCTTGATGGTATTTGAGCTGCTGCCCTGGTGGGAGGATTTCGGATGAAAATTCATTAGATATATTTATAGCCATAAATATGACAGCAAAAAGACGACAGAGTCTAACAGTGCACGGTCAGCTAGAAGCTGACTGTACTATAGCATTCTCTTAAGCTCTGAAGTGGCAATGATTCAAGGACAGACTCTGGAGTTTGGGATTGTTACATTTTGACTGCTGCAGGGGAAAACAAGAACAAGGATGGGATAGGTAAAACCCAGAATATCCTGGACTTTGAAGGATATTGCCTTTTTTATTACTGGGGTGGGATTAACTAAGAGTCCAGATAACTTTTCCCTTTTTACTGTGGTCAGATGGTCTCTGTGTCCTTCCTTGTCCCATGAGAAGGTCCAGTATAACTGGGATGCAGATCTGAGAACCATCTCCACCCACTGATGCACAACTTCTTTATGATACAGGGTCCTACCTGTCTGTCTTCCTCCTGGCAGGGACAGGTTTGCCTAGAACTTAGAATTTCTACATTTTACTGACCATGACAGCATTAAACCAGGACAGATCTCTTGACTGGCTGAAGTCTACGACTAGAACAGAGACACAAGTCCTTCCTTTAAGTGTATAGAAATAATATCGACTTGAATTGGGATGGCTTTTCCATGTTGCACAATTTTAGCTATTAGCTAAAAAAAAATCTGTTGCTGCTTTTATTAGCATCAAATCTGGCTGATGAATGGGAAAGATGTGATTTGGAGACTTATGTAAGCTTTCCTACGTCAGTGTGATTTAGCTGGTAGTAAACCCATTGCCTGGATCTGGCCTGTCACCCCAGTTTCTGAGCTACCAAATGCTTTCTTACACTGCGCCAGCACAGGTTGGGGCTGCTCCTGCTGCCTCTTGAGAGATCAGCTGAAGGGACACCTTTGTGCGTTCATCTAGTGCAGAGCTTGTTGAGGGTGGTTTGGTACATGGTGTTGCTGCTGCAAGATTTTCCAATGGTTTTCAGAAGGTTTTCCAAAACTGTGATGTGGTTTCAGTGGTTGCAGAAGTGAGAGAACTCTGTGAGCAGCAGGATTCAGGATTCATCATTAGCGTTCAAAAAATTAGAACATCATTTTTCCTGTGTGCGCACCTCTCCCCAGCTGTGTGCCCTCTCAGGCTTTCTCAGATAAGTTCTCCTCTGTTGGTCATATTTACCTCTCAAATAGAGGCTTTGCAAGTTTTAACTGGTGTTTTGCTACCTCTGCTAACAGGTTAATTGTACAAAGATATACAAATGTTGCCATAGATTAAAATTTAAAGGAATTTCAAAACATGTCTGTGAAAAAGATACTGACACACATTTTCAGGCTCAATACCGTTAATACTTATAACAATACTTAATACTTCTAAGACCTGTTGGTGTTACAAGAACGCCTATGGTGTTGGGGTCTATGGTTCTAAAGAAATCACTACTTTCATATAAAAACAGATGTAAGAAGCTTCTGTTGCTTCTGTCTACTTACAGCTGCAGCTCTTTGGGGGTTTAGCTCTTTAAATTTCACAGGCACATGATCCATGTTTCAGAAGTAGTTCCCTTAAAGCACAGACTGTGTGAGGTGGGCAGAAACCTGTTAAATTGATTTTGCCAGTAAAGAAGTGACCAAAGGGAAAAGGCTCACTTCTCCATCTTCCACTCCTGTGTTCTGCACTGGACAATTATCCTGTCTTCCAGTGAACTGTTGAGGTCACTGAAAGAAACCAGCCCAGTTTTTTACTGACTTACTCTTTTGCTGTGTTAGTGAATTAAAGTGGCACATGGTAGGATCTAATGGACAGCAGCTGTGGCATAAAGTAGGTAGTGAGGACTACACAATTAAGAGAGAGGAGCATGGCGTGAAGCAAGATAACCAACGTTCAGTTCAGTTTACTCTGTCTTCATCAAACTAGATCAGTCAGGAGCTGTTTTTTTTCTGTTCTGAACTGCTGCTTTTTCAAATAAAGGTGGGCATCCCTTAAGCCAAGACTGCAGCTCGCTCCCAAAAGAGCAGCCTGAGGGACTACAGGAGCAGGAAGCAACTAACTTAGCTCTTCCCCTTGCTGATACAGCAAGCGCAGGCGTGCCTGAGACTGTGCTGCTGTGGGTGCTGCACTCCCACATGATGCACTGCTTAGGAACCCTAGGAGTAGTAATAGTGCTGCATGGGACCCTGCTCAGGTCTGTCTGAGCCAAAACTGACTACATAGACCTAGTGGTGTATTTATGCTTTGCTGCCCCCAGCGCTTCTGGCTCCAGTTGCATGGTGTTGAGATATCCACGTGAACTGCATAGAGTCAGCTCTGGTCCCAGGAGAGCTTATTAGCCTTTTCTCTGCTGTTTGTGAGAGTTGTTAACCTACTGAGCTGGCCTTGGAAACCAGATATCCACGTGTAAAACCATTTGTGGGCTTATTAACCCTGTGTGATCAGAACCAGTTCTTCACAGAGCCTTCTTCAGTGTTTCTGGACGTGCTTCTGTGATGTGGTTGAGTTGTGGCGTGAATAACAACTTCAGTGTGACCTTACGGAACTTGGGTTGGTGTGTGGATATTTTCGGGTAGTTTTCTGACACAGGTGACGTAGAGACTGGATAATAGCTGTTGAGGACTGAGCATTTCATGCCTTATACGCTATCTTGCTATCTCGGAGCAATTCTGCTGATACCTAGTGACATTTTTGAGACTTTCTGTTAGGCAGTATAAGCCCTGTGAACTGCCTTTCTCTGTATTATGCTATATAACCACAGTTCCCAAAATGTGGACTATAGATATGCAAGTCATGAGGCTGCTGTAGCATATAAAGATGTTTTAATTGAGGCTCTCTAGCATTATAATGCAGTTAATTTTGTTGTATGTGCTGTTCTGTTGTCTCTGTTTTGTGATCATCCATGGACAAAACTTTGGGACCTCTGCTTTAGAGCCTAGATCCCAAATGCCTCTACTGTGCTGCTCTTGTGGAACGTGGAGCTGTAAAATCACCTGTAGGTGAAACAACTTTTCAGATGGCTCCTAGTGGGGCTACCAAGCAGCTCAAAAAGGAGTTTCCCT